CAAAATCTCTTCGTGGAACTTTTTGTAAATTAATTTTAAGGCATTTAACTTTCCGAAAACAAATTCGTTCATTTATGCTTTAACATCAGTTTTTCCTTATTAAATAACATTAAAAATAATGAAAATTTCTCTGTTTTTTCAGACGTTTTATTTACTTTATTTTTTTTACTTTTTCTTCAAAAAAATAAGAATACACTTTTCAGTGTTTAGAAGATGTAACATTTTAAGATTTTGACCAGATATATTGAAGCAAACATTATCTAAGAAAGTGTGTAGTATGAAACTCAGGTAAACTCAGGTGAACATATACATATGTAGGTGAAACTAGCTGGCGCATGGTTGTGTGGTTGTCCAATGTTGACAGGTATGTTGGTCAAAGTTGTTTTCACAGCTGGACATTTACGTTGAACACATCTCCAGTAAACACGCTCGTTTCTTCCACTTCTGATACAGAATTTGTAATCGGCATTTAGCAGGAAATGTCCACTTCTGCCATTTTCTAAAAAGTCAATCTGTATCTGTGAGTTAGCCATATCGAAATAGAAATATTCATAAAGTATCAGTTTAGGTATTGTTAACACTTTGGGATCAGCCCCAAACAAATCTAAAACCATATACGAAACCATGTTTAGATTGAAATTTTGCAGGCACACCCATCACAATAAAACAATATTCATTCAGCTTTCATAAGTTTAAATTATAAATAAGGCTGTATAGACAATTCATTACAGATTGTTTAAATAATTATTTTAAGGCAGAGACGTATATAACACTGGCTTTATACGTCTCTGATTAAGGTTAGGTTCATAAGGCTTTACTTCTAATTAACAATAATTAAAGATTGGAATAATACACAGGCAATATATTATACTGGGATCGATGCTGTAATAAATCAGAATTATAAAAACAATTATTTTTGTCTTCTGGTAGATATTTAAAATATAATGTATATTCCTTTTTTATATCTTAATATACATATAAATAAAGCAAAACACGAAGACTAGTATAATCGGCTAGCGCTTTCGCCCATCTTGGGGCTCTTCAGGTGATTTAAATTTTAATATACATATATACGATCTACTACCAAATGTCGCTGTTACAAAGATAATAGAATATATATTTGATCAAAGTAGATATAGTTTCATAATAATGATATAATGTACGTATTTATACCTTATAATATCACCTACACCACTTTGAAACAGACTATAACCAAATTATCCTTAGATTAGTTGTGAAAACCGAAATGTATGCTAGGTGAAACCACGGACTAATCTAATTCCGTCGTGAAACAGGGTATTTTTGAAAAATATACATATCATATTATATACTAGGTGAGACTAAACCATTCAGGGTTAATTACCGGTTAGATACTGTGGGCTTGCTGTCCCTTTGTCAGGAAATGACAGCCTCGGGCACAATTCTAGTGTATTACCTTATAATCCCCTTATATGTAAATGGCTTACAAACTGGGTGTTACATAAATGGTCGACACCCCAGCATCAATTAATGGGTCACTGAACCATGACAGAGCCTTTTGTACCTTCTCCTTCTTCTCTTCTTCTTCTTCTTCTTCTTCTATGAATTAATTCCTCCATAAATGTAATAATATTTAGGTACAGGCATAGCAAAGGTTACATAAATACATATATTGATCGCGCTAAGTCAAGACGTCAATGGGGGGGGGGGGGGGGGGGAATAATAATGATCAAAGTCGTGTGAATACATAATATATGGACATATGAAAACCTAGTGCAGCACTCATCATCCGGGAATAGTTCCCTTATATTGTTGGGAATGTCTAAATTATCCAGTTTGGCGTACAACTCAACCGGATACTTATTTACAACATTAGTGAAAATTCGTCACGGAAGGCAAACCAATCTGGATGTCTAAAATCAAGCAAGCAATGAACTACAGCATACTGAGACATTGTTTTACATTTGGCACATAACAGCTCACGGTCTGGGCTTCTGCTGCAGATATGAGATTGAAACGAAAATAACTTTTTCCACAGAAACCATAGAGACGACAGACGAAGTATTCCATACACATATTACACTCGACAAACATCAGCACAATCGTTTATGTAATGTTCCTAGGGATGAACGTATATGTTCACTTTGTGACCAACAAGTTATTGGTGATGAATACCACTATGTATTTGAATGTAGCTTTTTTCGAACTTGGAGACGTAAATATATTCCCAGATATTATTTCCGGTTTCTCAATACTATCAAATACCGTGCACTGTTTTGCACAACTAATATGAAATTGTTGAAAAACGTTTGTAACTTTCTGAAATGTGTTATGCAAACATTTCAGTCTGCATAGACTTAGATAGCATCTCATTCCGTACTAGAAAACTACACACTTACAAGAATCAATATATTTTTTAAATATTTTTCAAAGAAAAGTGAAATAAGTAAACTTAGAAATGAAACTGTTATAACTATGTATTGTTTGTTCCGAACAATGCCACAAAAAAATGGAAAATATTTAAATACATATAACTTGTAGCTTCTTTCTACAATTGGTGTCAGAATTAAACATCATATACAGCTACAAATATCTCCGTACGTATTTACCAAGATTACAAAGATTTTTAATTACACTCAGCCATACAATGTGTGCATGCAAACTTATTCAGTATGTACAACTTATCATCATTATTGATTACATTTTTAGTATCTATCGATCGTTTTCACGTGCACTTAATACTAACGTACTATATTTATGTTTGCCGTGGCGGTATCATCAAAGTCAATGAAACACATAACGGGTCTGTCACGTGTGTACCATTCATAGAAATATTCGCGTGATTTTACAACTTATTTAAAAGTTGTACAGGTTTTTTTTCTAAAAAGCTACAAACATTATGAAGCAGAGCAGCATTGCATATTGTGAATATTCCTTAGTACCACATCATTACTGCAGATGTGTAAATAATGAAATTCATCCCCTACACTGTCATTACATAGTATTCTTCTTGGCCAAATGTTCCTTGAAAATTAGGTACATGTAAGTGGTTCCTCTGGCCGAGGTTGTAACATCATTATATCATTTTTGAATAAATTGGTCGTGTAACGTAGTTTTCAATGGGTGTTTCAAAAACAATTTACTTACACTACACGTCTCTTGATATATCCATATATAATTCAGCCCCGAGTTACTAAGTATTTTCTTAATATATTGTTACCATTTCAAATGACAAGTACCATTTTCATATAAACTTTACATCATCTTGTACACATTACTCGATGATTTATCCTGATGGGAAACTAAATTGTACCAGTGCTCAGACATAGCTTGACAAAGGGACCAGTTGGTCTTGAAACGTTGCGACACGTTCAATACGTACATTGTTTGTGTAGTAAGTAAAACTTTGATCTTATTGAAGATAAGGAACGTGTATCTTTTACGTTTTTCGCAAGAGAACTCGAAATGTTTGTGTATCCTTTTCAATGGCATCCAAACCACTTCCGAAAAACGCTGAATGCACGAGCTCTGCGTGTACAACTTCCCGGAACGACATATATATATATGACAAACATGACCAATTCCTAAAACTGGTCAGTTTTCTAAAGGAGATTCAACAAGCTTTCAAATGAACCTAACATCGCAGAAATCGGTTCATAAATGTGTCGGGTATAAGGCGCTGACACTTGAATTGTTTGGTTATAATAAAGATGGAACGTGCAGTTTTACACAGAGAACTGGAAATGTTTTTGTATCATCTTCAATGGCATCCTAACCACTTCCGAAAAATGCTGAATGCACGAGCTCTGCGCGTACAACTTCCTGGAACGACACATATGGTTTACATGTCCATTTTACTATAAACAAAGAAAAACAAATTAACAACTCATAAAATCTATACTACTTTACCAATTTCGTAAAGCTGTTAAGTTATGGAAAGGAGATCGAACAATCTTTCAAATGAGCCTAACATCGCAGAAATCGGGTAATAAATGCGTCGGGTATAAGGCGCTGATTTTTTTATTTTTATTGCTGAGAATAAAGAAGAAACTTGTAGCTTTTGCGTTTCTCTCAAATTTTACACAGAAAACTCTTGAATGTTTTTTGCATCATCTTCAATGGCATTCAAACCACTTCCGAAAAACGCTGAATGCATACAACTAAACTGCGACGTGTGCAACTTCGCAGACATCACGCTATGGTAAAAATATGTAATATCAAATTAATCATGCTTTACTTGGAAAAAACAATTTAATACGTACTTTGTTTGTGTATCAAATAAAACTTTGATATTAGCCAAGATAAATTTGTGGTGAGCGTAGTTTGTCTTATGACACGACATACCATATCCTTCCGCCAAAATAAATTTCAAACAAATTAATAGACCATGTTAATTAAAGGGGAAATCATGTTTTATTTCATTTTATTTAACTCAGAAGGACCAAATAAAAATTAAGAAAAGAACGAGTCTAAAATTTAGAAATGCACTTCATTCGAACCGGAAGTATTACTGTGGTTTTTGAGGTCATTTATAAGATATAAATTGTGTAATACACACTTTTGCGAGTTATCTCCCGTTCAACGACAAACATGGTTTTATCAAAGTTTTTGATTTGGTGCTGTTATTAATTTCTTTCACATCCGTTCGTCTCGTCATACGTTATAGCGATTGTAAAGGTAAATAGCTATTTCAGACTACATCACTTTATCAAATCTCTGCCGTTTATCTTTTTTAAAGACATTACGTTTTAACGTACGTTACGTCTCTTATAATTTCTATTATCATCATATTTCGAATTCAAATTAGGAGAGGACGTTATTTGATTGTGAAAAGTTTGTAAAAAATATTATTTATTATTCATTGGTATCCCGAAAATCTGAAAATTTAAGGTGTAAAGCGAAATAATAAAAAAGACCCACGTGTTTCTTTGAGATGGTCCCCAAAGAGGCTCTTCAAAGCGCTTAATAAAGCAAAACATACTCCTGACTGAGAATATGCTCACTCACAAAGACGCATGCGCACGAGGCAATTGGGGGAACCTGTTCAAAAAGAAGGAAAAAGTGTTGAAAACATTACAGGATTTTTCTTTGAAATGTACATGTCACGAACTTTGTGATCGCAAGACAATTGTTATCGTGAAGTACCATGAGTAGTGGTGTTTCTGGAGGGAAGAAACCCACAGTATGCCGATATTTTATGAATACAGGTTCATGCATTTATGGTGATGAGTGTCAGTTTTTTCACCAAAATCCTAGATCTGGTGTAGGGTTTCAAAAGCCATTTGCGAACGGTCCTTCATCATCTACACAGGGAAATCAAGGTTTGGCCGTATGCACTACAAAGTTTTTTATCGTACAGCAATATTGATCTGATGTCTTATGCGATCTTTGATTATATGCCATGTTCTCAAATTTTGAGTGAATCAGCTGTTCACTAAGTTGAATGCGAAGCCTCATTGTCCAGATTTTTCTACAAATAACGTTATGTGGTGCCAGGAAACAGTCGTTTAAAGGTGTATTGTATATTTTGTTACGTATACACTCGTGTGCTTAATAATCAAAGATGGTTCCATGCTATTTCATTTGATTTATTAATAAATAAACAAGTAAGGGGAGGTAATTGACGCAGCAGTGATTTCTATACTTGAATCTACTGAGATGATATCCTGTAGTTCTAACACTTTAAAGTATATGTTGGTACCACCAGGTAATGGGACAAATGCAAGGGCTTGCCACGCGATTTTCACTACTCCATGATAAGAAAAAGATTTCCTTCAAGTATGACCATCAGGTCCAGTACACTCTGCCGATTGAGCTATAAAGACCTATATAGCTATATACACCTATAAATTATAGCTGTATTGAGCTATATTTTCTCAAATTTCATTAAATTAAAGCAAAGTCGCATAAAACAATAAGGTTTATGGTAATGTTGACTACAAAAAGCATACATTTAGATGTTTATTTTCATTTTTCATAAATGTAAAATTTTCGATTTTTTTACATCATTATTTTTAAAAAAGAATACCCATATTTAATGTCTTTTGTTATCAACCTAATGATACAATCTTCTTTTAAAAGCGACTTTGTTTCTTTTTCCTTAAAAAAGAAAATCACTTGAAAATAGCTCAAAAGACCTATTTCAGATAGGTCAATAGAGCTATTATAGGTCTTTACAGCTATATATTTCAATCGGCAGAGTGTACTGGACCTGACCATGACAACTTGCACACATGGTAGAAATTCCAAGTTTTAGAATTGATATATGCTAAGCCAAGAACATAGTTCCATATATGTATATATATATAAATTTGCAACCAATTCTCGTTGGAAAGTAGCTTCTGTCAACAAGACAACTCATGTATTGGCAGTTTTTTTGGAAATTGCAGGGCAGAGGAGACCAATATTAATATTAGTATTTTGGTAGGGTCAGAGGAGGCCTGGTATTAATATTAGTACAAATGGGAAAGTAGTCTGTTAAAGTAGAGCACCGTCATTGTATGTATGTATCATAGAAATTAAGTAATAATGCAGACTTCTTATGTATAAATTTTACATTCAAATTGCAAGTGTCCGACCTCATTTTTAATATGATGGTGCAAGGGTCCCACGTCTTAAGATATTATGTAATGGGTTCACAAAATGTGGGCAAGTCCAACAAAAAGATGAATCTAGGACACTTTGAGTTTCATCTATACATACAGTCGAACCTCGTTATCTCGAACTCTTTTAACTCGAAGACCCTGTTTATCTCGAAGTATTTCTCCGGTCCCGGCCAAATCTGTTCTTTATCTTAGTAAATAAAACTCTGATAATTCGAACCCTGAAAAGTCGAAAAACTCGGATACCTCGAACTAAAATATTGGTTTCAATAGCGTTAATCCAACGTAGTATCCAAATTTCATTTTGTCACTAGTTAATTCTTTGATACAAATAAAACGCAAAAATACGACATTTCGCCATTCCGTGTTTATGAACATCTTTCTTAAGTAGACTAGCATGAAATCAGTAAAAAAAGAATTTACGATAAAGCTTAGGACTGTAAAGTTTACGAACTGTCAAAACCATGTTATTCATAATAAAAAACAAACTGCATCAATGTTGATCAACAGTAATCTGTACTTACTGCGAGGCCGTTTAATAATTATGTACACCTAAACAGACGACAGTGCAAACCGGAAAATTGGTCACAAAGCCTGGTCATGCATAAAAGAGTTCCACAGTCAAAATCACAACCTAGGACAGCTTTACGGGTTCATGTTTTTACAAGAGCCAGTATGGCTTTGAAAGTCAATCGAGAGATTTAAGAACAAAACGATAATTGCTGTTGATTACATCGAGTTGAGGAGGTGTCAGGTGTCATATTTGGCTTTAATGAATCAATGTGTCACATGTACGATATAATTTGTTTGTGTGTTTTCATTTACAGAATCAACTATGCGTACGCTCCATTACAGTGATTTGTTTTAGACTTGCGCACTTTCATTTCCGCATTGTAAACTACGAGATCAGAGACAGCGGGATAGTTCGGTTTGAAATGTAACACTTCAGAAGTAAAACTTGACGGACTTACAAATACAAATGCAGACCTGGAAAGATTTGCCAAGATCTATACTAGCCAAAAACAACATTTAATCACTAGGCCCGTCCATATTTAATAACGAATTCACAAAATGGTCCAACCGTTTTGATCGCGTTTAAAAACGAAAGTACGTTTTTCTGAAATAACTTACTCTATTTTTGTTAGCGTGTTTATTGTAAAATTACATAGCTGTATTTGTTATATTGATTACGTATATCATTTATCGATTGATTTAAAGCATTAACTATTAATAAAACCAACAACTGCTAGTGCTATGTCCCAACAGCAAATTTCATACCAAATCTATGAACCCGCATAACTCGAATACTCGGATAACTCGAAGTTTTCCCACGACCCGTCGACTTCGAGATAACGAGGTTCAACTGTATCAGAAGTCAGCCTGTCAAACATTCACACACTACTAATGCACTCTTTGATACATTGTTTTCACACAATCATCCTGCCTTTTGCAGTACCCTCTGCTGTCTATATATATATATATATGATAGGTGATTTAATTGAATAAATTCCAGATTTTTGGACACTAATGGCTATTTCTTGATGGTACAAAAACAATAATTGTGTTTGAAATGTTCAATAACTAATTGTGTAATTTTCTTCAGTGACTTTTAATTAACAATAAAAGACGGTGGAATATTTTTTTTCTGTTATTCTTATCAGAAACAAGAATAATTAGAATACTGTAATAGTTATTTTTTAAGATTCCTAAATTCATTTTAAAACTATAAGAAATTGCAACAAACATGCAATAATGGGTTTAGTGTGCAATACATGTATCTGTTTATTTGTTTTAATTGGAACAGATCTGATTCATACAGAGTACAATATATTTTTTTTTACACTTTACATGTCAAATATAAATCATCAATTTGATGAAAAATTATATAGTAATCTTTTACATGAAGATGTTGTATAATATCGAGTATTATCGACCAGTCAGAATGGTTCTTTCTATTCACTGCATTGAATCGGCAGAGATGAGAAGAGAGTAAAGTAATACATTTTAAGTGGTTGAGTTCAAAACACTAATCAAACCCTGCCTGCATTGGTGAAAGGCAAGTGCCCTACCCACTGTTCAAACACTAAGGATGAATATGACTTTTTCTTAAATAAACAATTGATTACATTATTGTAATTATAAGCAAATCAGAAAACAATAGTTCTAGTATCAAGAAACAATAAAATCGCATGATAAAGTAACTTATTCAAAAAATGAGCATTAATTGAGCTCATTGTCAATCATGAGATCATGACGTCAATAAATTGCTAATTATTCCTGCTCTTCCTGATACATAAATAATTTCTTCGTTCAGTTTTTAAAACGTAATGATATGTACAGTATAATTTATGGAAGAACATTTCACTCATTTTCATTCATGCTTCAGTTCAAAATCGATATTCTGTCATATTCATAAAGATATACCTAAATATGATCATGATGCTTCATTGTAATTATAAACATAAAGTATCCATTAAGTATCCTAGGTATTTCAAAAACATAAATCTGCATCAGGCATGCACCTTTAACCACTCTGATAATGCTTTTCATTTACGGTCTCCAGATTGAATCAAAATATTTGGCCAAAAACCTGAAATACAGCACTCTTTATTTTGATACATTTTTGTGTAATTACTTAAGCTTAAAGCTTGTTATCAAGCACTACCTGTCACCAAAGTTATCGAACCATCATTATATTAGAAATAGAAGTTTTAAGATAAAACAGACAAACTTGAGAGTATCTGAGTTAAACACAATGAATATTTATTAATCTGGTAACTATAAGAACAACAAATATTTTTGAGATAAAAGGTCAAACTATTGGAGAGATAAATGTTATATTGAAAATATAACCAACAGATGATATTGATTAAACCTGTTAAATTTTGTTTGTGCATTAAAAGTATGGATTCACAATTTTGTATTATAATTACAGCATCAGGACCTTTCGATATGATGGGAAATAATGGAGATCAGTATTTTAATGCAACCTTTGAACCTGAAAATGGTGGAGCCGACTTCATCCCTTTTCCAGTAAGTTGCTTTTTACTTGGTACTCTTTGACCTATATTGATCCACAAACCCCAGGTAAGGAAATCTATTGAGATACTTAGTGTTAAGATTGTTCTGTTTACTATCTTTATGGTTTATTTTGACACGTCTATAGTTTTATACTTACTATACAGTCTGTGTATATACATTGTATCTGATTCTCTAATACTTGTGTACTTCGTTTGATTTTGACGGTTTGACATCTGTTTTTACGGCTTTTCAGCTTTTAAGCAGACAATATTGTAAACACCAAGAACAGTGACTTTTTGTATTTACTGAAAAACACATTTACAACAAATATAAGTACAGTATTTGACACTCCTAGTGGTCAGATTTATCTGAAAGACAATCCAAAATTTAATCGACCATTGATTGATTAGAGGAAACTGAAGATTGATCATGAAATTTCAACTAATGTGACATGTGAATGCATAAGATTCTAAAAGTATACTGTATTATAATATAATTAAATTGTTTTGTTTTCCTTTTCTTATTCTAAAACAGATGTTTTATTTAATTTATCCTTTATTTCATTCTAAATCACATTCAATAATTCATGTATGTGTGACAATGTACATTCATAGTCTGTAAATGTACATTGTGTTCATTCATAGTCTGTAAATGTACATTGTGTTCATTCATAGTCTGCAAATGTACATTGTGTTTATCCATAGTCTGCAAATGTACATTGTGTTCATCCATAGTCTGCAAATGTACATTGTGTTTATCCATAATCTGTAAATGTACATTGTGTTTATCCATAGTCTGCAAATGTACATTGTGTTTATCCATAGTCTGTAAATGTACATTGTGTTCATTCATAGTCTGCAAATGTACATTGTGTTTATCCATAGTCTGTAAATGTACATTGTGTTTATCCATAGTCTGCAAATGTACATTGTGTTTATCCATAGTCTGTAAATGTACATTGTGTTCATCCATAGTCTGCAAATGTACATTGTGTTTATCCATAATCTGTAAATGTACATTGTGTTTATCCATAGTCTGCAAATGTACATTGTGTTTATCCATAGTCTGTAAATGTACATTGTGTTCATCCATAGTCTGCAAATGTACATTGTGTTTATTCATAGTCTGTAAATGTACATTGTGTTTATCCATAGTCTGCAAATGTACATTGTGTTTATCCATAGTCTGTAAATGTACATTGTGTTTATCCATAGTCTGCAAATGTACATTGTGTTTGTTCATAGTCTGTAAATGTACATTGTGTCATTCATAGTCTGTAAATGTACATTGTGTTCATTCTTAGTCTGTAAATGTACCTTGTGTTCATTCATTGTCTGTAAATGTACATTGTGTTCATTCATAGTCTGTAAATGTACATTGTGTTAATCCATAGTCTGTAAATGTACATTGTGTTTATCCATAGTCTGCAAATGTACATTGTGTTTGTTCATAGTCTGCAAATGTACATTGTGTTCGTTCATAGTCTGTAAATGTACATTGTGTCATTCATAGTCTGTAAATGTACATTTTGTTCATTCATTGTCTGTAAATGTACATTGTATCATTCATAGGTTGTAAATGTACATTGTGTTCATTCATAGTCTGTAAATGTACCTTGTGTTCATTCATTGTCTGTAAATGTACATTGTGTTCAATCATAGTCTGTAAATGTACATTGTGTTCACTTAGTCTGTAAAATGTACCTTGTTTCATTCATTGTCTGTAAATGTACATTGTATTCATTCATTGTCTGTAAATGTACATTGTGTTCATTCATAGTCTGCAAATGTACATTGTGTTTATCCATAGTCTGTAAATGTACATTGTGTTTATCCATAGTCTGCAAATGTACATTGTGTTTGTTCATAGTCTGCAAATGTACATTGTGTTCGTTCATAGTCTGTAAATGTACATTGTGTCATTCATAGTCTGTAAATGTACATTGTGTTCATTCATAGTCTGTAAATGTACATTGTGTTCATTCATTGTCTGTAAATGTACATTGTGTTCATTCATAGTCTGTAAATGTACATTGTGTTCATCCATAGTCTGTAAATGTACATTGTGTTTATCCATAGTCTGCAAATGTACATTGTGTTTGTTCATAGTCTGCAAATGTACATTGTGTTCGTTCATAGTCTGTAAATGTACATTGTGTCATTCATAGTCTGTAAATGTACATTGTGTTCATTCATAGTCTGTAAATGTACATTGTGTTCATTCATTGTCTGTAAATGTACATTGTGTTCATTCATAGTCTGTAAATGTACATTGTGTTCATCCATAGTCTGTAAATGTACATTGTGTTTATCCATAGTCTGCAAATGTACATTGTGTTTGTTCATAGTCTGCAAATGTACATTGTGTTCGTTCATAGTCTGTAAATGTACATTGTGTCATTCATAGTCTGTAAATGTACATTGTGTTCATTCATAGTCTGTAAATGTACATTGTGTTCATTCATTGTCTGTAAATGTACATTGTGTTCATTCATAGTCTGTAAATGTACATTGTGTTCATTTAGTCTGTAAATGTACCTTGTTTCATTCATTGTCTGTAAATGTACATTGTATTCATTCATTGTCTGTAAATGTACATTGTGTTCATTCATAGTCTGCAAATGTACATTGTGTTTATCCATAGTCTGTAAATGTACATTGTGTTTATCCATAGTCTGCAAATGTACATTGTGTTTGTTCATAGTCTGCAAATGTACATTGTGTTCGTTCATAGTCTGTAAATGTACATTGTGTCATTCATAGTCTGTAAATGTACATTGTGTTCATTCATAGTCTGTAAATGTACATTGTGTTCATTCATTGTCTGTAAATGTACATTGTGTTCATTCATAGTCTGCAAATGTACATTGTGTTTATCCATAGTCTGTAAATGTACATTGTGTTTATCCATAGTCTGCAAATGTACATTGTGTTTGTTCATAGTCTGCAAATGTACATTGTGTTCGTTCATAGTCTGTAAATGTACATTGTGTCATTCATAGTCTGTAAATGTACATTGTGTTCATTCATAGTCTGTAAATGTACATTGTGTTCATTCATTGTCTGTAAATGTACATTGTGTTCATTCATAGTCTGTAAATGTACATTGTGTTCATCCATAGTCTGTAAATGTACATTGTGTTTATCCATAGTCTGCAAATGTACATTGTGTTTGTTCATAGTCTGCAAATGTACATTGTGTTCGTTCATAGTCTGTAAATGTACATTGTGTCATTCATAGTCTGTAAATGTACATTGTGTTCATTCATAGTCTGTAAATGTACATTGTGTTCATTCATTGTCTGTAAATGTACATTGTGTTCATTCATAGTCTGTAAATGTACATTGTGTTCATTCATTGTCTGTAAATGTACATTGTGTTCATTCATAGTCTGTAAATGTACATTGTGTTTATCCATAGTCTGTAAATGTACGTTGTGTTTATCCATAGTCTTCAAATGTACATTGTGTTTGTTCATAGTCTGCAAATGTACATTGTGTTCGTTCATAGTCTGTAAATGTACATTGTGTCATTCATAGTCTGTAAATGTACATTGTGTTCACTTAGTCTGTAAATGTACCTTGTTTCATTCATTGTCTGTAAATGGACCTTGTTTCATTCATTGTCTGTAAATGTACATTGTGTTCATTCATAGTCTGTAAATGTACCTTGTGTTCATTCATAGTCTGTAAATGTACATTGTGTTCATTCGTAGTCTGTAAATGTACATTGTTTAATTCATAGTCTGTAAATGTATATTGTGTTCATTCATAGTCTGTAAATGTACCTTGTGATCATTCATAGTCTGTAAATTTACATTGTTTCATTCATAGTCTGTAAATGTACATTGTGTTCATTCATAGTCTGTAAATGTACATTGTGTTCATTCATAGTCTGTAAATGTATATTGTGTACACAGAGCTTGGCACCATGCAAATATTGTCTAGAAATTCTCCCTGGACATAAGTAGCACATTTTCTTACTCATGCTTACTTTGTTCTTGTCCCGAGTACTTATATTGCATAAATGTACATTGTGTTCATTCATAGTCTGTAAATGTACATTGTGTTCACTTAGTCTGTAAATGTACATTGTGTTCATTCATAGTCTGTAAATGTACCTTGTGATACCTGCCGTTAGCAGTTGCTTTCATGTGTTCATTCATGGTATGTAAATGTACATTGTGTTCATTCATAGTCTTTAAATGTACCTTGTGATCATTCATAGTCTGTAAATGTACATTGTGTTCATTCATAGTCTGTAAATGTACCTTGTGGTCATTCATAGTCTGTAAATGTACCTTGTGTTCATTCATAGTCTGTAAATGTACATTGTGTTCACTTAGTCTGTAAATGTACATTGTGTTCATTCATAGTCTGTAAATGTACATTGTTTCATTCATTGTTTGTAAATGTACATTGTGTTCATTCATAGTCTGTAAATTTACATTGTGTTCATTCATAGTCTGTAAATGTACCCTGTGTTCACTTAGTCTGTAAATGTACATTGTGTACACAGAGCTTGGCACCATGCAAATATTGTCTAGAAATTCTCTCTGGACATATGTAGCACATTTTCTTACTCATGCTTACTTTGTTCTTGTCCCGAGTACTTATATTGCGTAAATTAATGAAAGCTAGCTATAGGCGTGATTAACTTGTGATTTGTCTACAATATGTAATATTCTTTTTATTTCATATTTAAATTTACTGACAATGTTTGATATGATATATTGTTTGTTTTGGTATTTTTAACTCTGTGATTTTGATGAAAATCATATATATGTTTTACACTTTTGCCATTTCAAATTGGCTTAAGCTCAGTCTTAGTGTGTTATGACATATTCTGTAATTTCCTGTTGTTTTGTAGATATGTTAATTTTCAAATTAATTGTTTTACAGCACTCTCGACCTATATCAAGAACACATAGAAACATGCCACCCCAGGGCATGAAGCCCCCATTTGGACCCCCACCACCAGGGCCTCCTGGCCATCCAGGACCTCCAGGACCTCCAGGACCCCCAGGACCTCCAGGCTCTAAAATGGAAGGCCAAATGCAGAGACCAGATGGTCCTGGTCATGGGATGGAAAGACCAAATCAAATGATGGACGGATATGGTCCTAGAATGAATGGTCCAGTATCCATGATGGAAAACCCTAATCCCAATGGGGGTCCCCCTAGGGCCGGCCCAAGGATGGATTCCATGGCCACAGATTTTGCTGCTCTTAATCTGTCTATTCCAAGTTCTAAGGTAGTTCCATTCCTATTTTTTAAATTGATTCAATTAAGATTTTCTACAAAAAATTATAGACTGGTTCATTTGTTGTTTTAGGAAAAACTATAAAATAGTTTTGTATGCAGTTTTGTCTTTGTTTAAATGTTCTTTTAGGAGATATTGTGTAGGGACGGCAAGTTGTTATACAGTGAAACGTGTTTTAGCGACCACTTGCTATAAACGGTCACCTGCCGTTAGCAGTTGCTTTCATTTCCCCCTGACGATCACTACATAATTATATATATATATATGTATGTTTGAATAAGCGGTCACCTGTCTTAACACCCACAATGACCACTAAAACTTAACACCCACCATGGCATTATCATCTGGTTTAAGCGGTCACAAGACATTGAACCAATGTAGGAATCGGACAAATTAACCAGAGGCAATGTGTGATGACTGAAAACATTGACTCAATTATAAACACCTTGTAAATGGTACTCAATTACTCGGCAATTACAAAGTCAAAACAAATGATGATTTCTTTATGCAAGCGAGATGAAGCAATAAACATTAGGAAAAAGTGTCAACGCTGAATCCAAGTTATAATTGGAATGGGCATAACAATGGTTCAGATAATTTTAAATTAATATCGGAGGCGTTCACCGACTTTCACTGCAATGTAGTCGTAGAGATTAAGTAGTGCCATCACACAACCAATGAAGAGATCAACATGCTAAATTTAGCGATAAACTTTTATGATTTCAACTATCAAATTGATGACTAGGGTCGATTTTATAATAATATCTTGTGTATAGACAATAAGTGGGAAGAACAACAATATTGTCCAGAATTTTAAGCAAAACTGTCAATATTTAGCTGTGATATTATTACAGTACAGATATATAAAGTAATGGTTATTTTGGAAGTACATTTATTGTAATGATCTTGTGCTGTTAAAATTTTATAAATGTATTTTACCGGGTAATCAATTCATCAATTATCATATCTCTCATTGTAAGAAATATGTGACTTTAACAAAGGAATATTTGAAAGATATTCATCTGCATGCTTAATTTAATTGTTTTAATGAATTTTGCTCATTGTAAATTTTTTGATAGATGTTATTAAGTAATGTCTTATTCAGCCACTTCGACATCGTGATCTCCCGTAGGTTACAGCTAAACACAGGTTTGGCTGTATATATGAATTTGGGTGCTTACAGTTAGTTTTGAGATGCAACAGAAAAATTAACTTTACATTAAAGCCTGAAATTTTGGTTTGCAAATGACAGGGACCAAATCCTATAGCGAATGAATTCATTCCTAAGAATGGACCTCTAACACATAGTGCTAGTTCTCCAAACTTCTCCACGTTCTCGGATGGCATGGCTACAGACGGCTCTGGAAACAATCACATGATGAACAATCCTGCCGTGAATCACATGCCACAGCTTGGGGGACCGATGGGTATGCCTCCCCCAGGCCCTGGCGGCCCCTTGATGCCGCCCCACAGTGCTGCTCAGATGTCCAATACGCCTCCCCCGACACACTTGTCCACCACAGGTGTGTGTTACCGATAGCTCATTGGCATTGTGAAACATCAGCTGACAAAACCAGCCTGTTTGTGGTCCATATTTATTAAAAACAATTATTATTGGATATCATCAAGTACAATCCAATGTAAATAAAGGGCCTTGTTTGTGAATATTGCTGTTAAAAGTGTAGGTAAAATGATATTACATAAATTTATTCTAGACACTCCTCCTTTTGTAACAATTGCTTTTAAAAATGCAGGAATAATTATATTGCATTCATTTGTTCGTGACAGCCATATCTATCTATTGATGATTTGCCCTAATGGTGCTGTATTTGGTATCTTTAATTATCAGAGAGTCGATGCTAACAGTATGATTATAATTAGGTTAAACAAGTTTATTATGAATTTGCTGCAGGATGCCTTTGTATTATATAATGCTTTTTTTTCATTTTAGATTTGTAACAAAGTGTGTTTTTATGTTTGTAAAGGTTACGCAGCCAGTCCAAACCATAGTCCACATTTATCTCCCTCCAACTCACCACTGATGTTACGTCGCACAGCCTCACCCATTACACCGCTGAAAAATACAACGCCTAAAAAGTCTGCAAATACCACAATACAGGTTAGACAGTTCACCATGGATATGTTAACTGTTTTAAAAATGCAATGAGATTTCCATTTATCCAGCAGTATTATTTCTGATTACTTCTGTTAAATTGAATTTGCATTTTACAGGAAAATGTAGGTGGTACTACTTCTGTTCATTTGAATTTGCATTTTACAGGAAAATGTAGGTGGTACCACATACTTCTACTCGCCTGAAGATTTCACTCCACAGCATGAAGGAATGGTAAGTTGTGTCCAAGTATTTCCTGTGTGCATGTAAGAAAAGCATTTGGCAAGTTAAAAAGTTGCATTACCAAAGAGATATTAAGTTTGATTGTGTTGATCATTTAATTTAGGCTGATTGCAGTTGCTTTACCAAATTACAATATGCTAAATGCTAAAAGTGTAGGCTGTGAAAGTGATTTTTGGGACTCTGATATTTGAGTCATGGACTCCTGTTTTTTCTATGGGACTCCCAAACTTTTTGAGCACTCATGACCACTCAGTATCTCTCAGTAATGGAACTCATAAACATTTTGAAAAATCTCCCTGCTGTGTAGAACTTTAGGTGAAATTGGCGAATGAATAATACTCCCATGTTCAGTATCAAAGGCCTGTACAGGTTACATGGGTGTGGTCTAAGGGAGATAACTGGAAAAAATTAAGCCTCCCATGTTTATCTGACAGTTCACGTTGGTAATAATCAATTAAAATCACTGATTTAATATAAGCACATTGGAACCCAATTCATATTGTTTGTTCATTGAATGAAGTTCCACTATATTTCATTTTAATTAATTACTGCTCATAGTTTCCATTAAAGATGAGAATATTATTATGGTATTACATATCTGTAATTCAGTTGTATATTTATTGTGTGGGTTCATTATTTTGTGTAGGCGCTGCCGAACTTTTCCGTGTTTCCGAGTCTCCCACCTCATATTGCACATATGACAGTGAAGAAGAATATGCCACAATTCTTCATGCCCGATGAGCTCAGAATGGTAGGTACCAACCATCCAAAAATAACTTGATAGGGTCATGAAGATTTCATCCTTTAAGTGCATATTCCTGTAACTTAGGTTTTGATTAGTATATCCCTGTCCTTTTGAAGTATGGCAGGGATTTCTCTCAAACTCGGCATAATGCTTTCCTGTTATGTGATGCCGACCCTGTTGCATGTCGCCAAATCTGGGAAAAAATTCTCAAGAGAAGTTCTGTCCAGAATATTATGTCAAATATATATGTATGTAATACATTGAACTACTAAAAACAATTTTTCCCTTCAAAACTCCTCCTACAGTTTTAATTTGGTTAAAGGCATATCTTCTATACTGTATTAACTAGATAAAGTCTTACATTATCTTCTATACTGTAGTAACTAGATAAAGTCTTTTGTTATTCAGATATTCTAAATGTTTATTTTGAAGGTTGTAATAAGAGTTTCTGTTTTTGTTTTAATTCTTGCTTTTGCCTATAATGGAGATTATTAGAATCTCTCACCCCAGGTGGGGGTGAGATAGAGGGAATCTTTCCCCGAGGGTTGAGATTCCCCTATCTCACCCACAAGAATATTTTCTCTTAACCTGTTCTACCATTGTGTATCATATACACAATGTAATGATAATGTTTCATGCTAAATTCAGGGTTGATGGACTGTTGGCATGACGTCATTGTATTGTTGAAGTGACGTCATACAATTGTTATGAATAGGGGAATCCCTCCGTCTAAACCCTAGGGTGAGACCAGGAAATCTCACACACGTAAAAGTGTAGATACACATGTCCAGGGTAAGAGAATATAAACTGAACACTTATTTTTTGTAGGAGATCCTGAACCGTCATGCCTTGACCATGGCCCAGATTGATGCTAGTGGAAATCCAGGTAACACAGAAATGCCATGCTACTGATCACAAAACATTGAATTGAACTGTTGGTTAATGTGACATTTCATCAGAGTTCCTGTTATCCCTGTATCTAAATCAAATAACCATTTTATTGTCACTCTCATCCGTGTCCAGTGTTGAAAAGGAGAAACACAGTGTAAACAATGTGACATGTGGAAGTTCTACATATCTCATATTGATATAGTGTTATGATACATGTACATGTGTAATAATGATAACATGCTTGAAAAATTGAATGTTATTTTATTCATAATTTAATTTTGATACATTTCTGTTTGTGCATGCTGTAGCAGGACGTTGTGATATTGATCAGAATGTTTGAGTGGGTACTGTATCTCATTGCTCGGCAGTGTTTATATCAGTCGTTGGTTATTTGTTGTAGATATCCCCACAGAGGTAGATACCTATCACAACCTGTTTCCACTGGAGCCTCCACCCAGCAACCCCATGCAGAAGTCCAATAGGTTTAGCTACCCCACCACATGTTACAAGGCAGTAAACACCAAGGATGGCCTCACCTACTGTCTGAGAAGAGTACACGGTATGTAGACAAGAAATATCCAGTTTACATCACATTCACCCGGAAAGGGAGATGAACTTCATAACTTCAAAACATGTCTGTACATAGACATATTTTTCTTTTGAATGTATTCACTTAAAGTTGTCTGTAACTGTTTTTAGATAGTGTGAGCTCATGGACATAGGTAATTTTCAATAAATCTGTGCCCAGTCAGCATCAAAGATACAGTTAAGTCATACACTGTTTCTGACCAACACCCCAGACAATCAGATTAACAATAACACCAACAGAGCCCCATTAGACTAGTTCGAAATTGTCAATTATTATTTGTCGAAGGATCTAGACAATCCTTAGTTAAACAAAAGAGAAACATCCTCTGTCAGTAAATAACGATTCTGAAATACATTTGTTGAAAACATGTTGTGTTAATGTATTACAGTACTATTGATGCTTTTTAGGTCACCTGAGACAAAGTCTCAAGTGACCTATTGCGATCGCCTTTTGTCTGTCGTCCGTCGTTCGTCGTCCGTCGTCCGTCCGTAAACAATTTACATTTTCAACTTCTTCTCCAAAACCCCTGAATCAATTTCAATGAAATTTTGCAGGGACCTTCCATGGACAAAGGTCAACAAAAATGGTTGCCGGTTTAGTCCTACGCCCCCAGGGGCCTGAGGGGCGGGGCCAAAAGGGGTCAAATTGACTAAAATTTCAAAAATCTTCTTCTCCAAAACCACTGAACCAATTGCAATGAAATTTTGCAGGGACCTTCCATGGACAAAGGTCAACAAAAATAGTTGCCGGTTTAGTCCTACGCCCCCAGGGGCCTGAGGGGCGGGGCCAAAAAGGGT